TTAAGGGTTCAGCCCAGTAACTTCTGTGGTTCTTTGCAATGCTGTGAACGCCCATCGAGTCTGGCCTGGGACTTGCTTCTACACATACCTCCTTCTCTTCCTCACCCATGGCCAGGGTAAAGCTACCGGCTGCCTCGGTGGTATTCCACATCTGATTAGAGGGTCCATGTCCAGGGCTCTAATTATTTCTTGCTGCTTAATTTTGTGGAATGGAAGAGGCATTTGTCATTTAATGTTGCACAGAACCCTTTTTTGCATAATCAAGGTAGACTTCAAGATGTAGATAACATTGACCACATCACTCTGAAAACAGATCCATGTAAAGTTTTAATTTCAAATATAGAGGACAATATGTAAAATTGATTTTATTTAACATACACGTATGTATACCAAATATAAAATCAGTTAAACTGATAGAGCTAGGTTGGGTAAAACTTTCTAAATAGATCATATAAAACAGAAGATTGGCAATTATTTTTTATATGCTTCTTATCTATAACAAGTGTTTTGCCATTGGTATAAATTTGATATTGCAGGAAAACATTTTTTTTTTTATTTGACAGTAGTGGTAGTATGAAATAGAAAATGGAAAAATAACTAATATATCCACCCTGGCCAGTTTGGCTCAGCGGTTAGAACGTCAACCCACAGACCGGAGAGTCCTGGGTTCGGTTCCCGCTAAGGGCACGTACCTTGCAGATTGTCCCCAGCTCTGGTTGGGGTCATGTGGGTGGCAACATTTGATTTGTCTCTCACATTGATGTTTCTCTCTCTCTCTTCCTCCCTTTCTCCCTCCTGCTCTATCTGAAGATAAATGCAAAAATGCCCTCCGGTGAGGATAAAAAAAGAAATATATCCATATTCTGAAAAACTAATTTTTTTTTTTATCCTCACCCGAGGACACTTTTCCATTTTTTTGTTCAGATAGAGTGGGAGGAGGGAGAGAGAGGAAGAGAGAGAGAGAGAGAGAGAGAGAGAGAGAGAGAGACATCGACGTGAAAGGGACACATTGAGTGGCTGCCACCTGCATGACCCAACCAGGGCCGGGGACAAACTGCAACCGAGGTACGTGCCCTTAGCGGGAACCGAACCCGGGTCTCTCAGGATCGCAAGCTGACGCTCTAACCACTGGGCCAAACTGGCCAGGGCTGAAAAACTAATTTTTAAAACAACAAATCCTTATATATTTGCTTGTCCTTAGAAATATATCTAGCAGAACAAAAACCTGGAGTATCTAATATATACACAGTAATTACATTAATTTTTCAGGAATCAACTTTCTGGTTGGAAACGATACGTGACTCCTCCCTGACACCCCTTCAAGATCTCTTACCCTTTGAGATGACATGGAGGGACCTGGGGAGTATTAAGCTAAGTGAAATAAGCCAATCAGAGAAAGACAAGTATCACATGATCTCACTTATCTTATTTGTGGAACATAATGAACAAAATAAGCTGATGAACAAAATAGACCCAGAGACATGAAAGTAGGGATCAGACTGACAAACCTCAGAAGAGGGAGGTGGGGAGGGGGTAGGGAAGAGATAAACCAAAGAACTTATATGCATATATGCATAACCAATGGACACTGACAATATTGTGAATGTGGGGGAGGGGAGGGAGAGGAGGGTGTCAATGGGGGAAAAAGGAGAAACATCTGTGACAAAAATCAATCAATCAAAATGAAAAGGAAAGTGACTCAATCTTAAGGATTTGGCTGGTCTGTTGACACGTTCTTGACATATTCGCTCTCCACCCTCCCAATTACAGGCCTTTATTGGAGAAATTTAGGACCATAGCTAGTTTCCTAGTAGATCCCCTTGTCCTGTCTTGCCCCATACCCCAATCCTTCCTTCATACTTTTGGGAGTTACCTTTCTGAACCCCAAATCTCATTGCCTCTTCATAAAGTCCACATTTTGGGGTCTACACAAGACTTGCACCACCTGATTATTTGTTCCTTTCCCACATCTCTCAACAGCCCTGCTCTGCTCTGGCCTCTGAACGACTTGCATTTGCCCAAATGCCCCTTTGCAGTGTCATACTTTGCAGTCAACGGATAGTAGAGTGCCTCCCGCTTACGTGCCAGGCATGTTGTGGGCAGTTTCGTGCAGTTGCTGATGCTGTTCCCATTGTGAAAAATGTTCTGCCCAAATCTGTCCCCAGCAAAACACCTTAGTTTTCCATGTCTCAATGCACAGCATCTATAATTTTGTGTGGCCTTATCAGTTAAAAGTAACCACTTCTTTTTCTATGCCTTCAATCAGCGCTATTATATCAAGTCTTAATACTTCTATATCCATGTGGCCATAAACTTGGAAGAAAATTTTTCCTCACTAACACCTGCACAGTACCTGACTCTTGCATTATTTCATCTTAGCCCCAGAAGACCTATTTGACCTTCACCTGGGTATGGCAAAGAACAAAATAAGCAACAGAAAGCTGCATCAGCTACTATTTGATTACCATTTCACAAAAGAGAAGTTTAGAAATATATGGGGTCATATATATGGCAGGATCATGAGGGTGAATCTTGACTGATGATGCCATCTTGAAATTCATTACATGACACATTAATGATGCAGGGTTTCTTCCACAACCACAATCAGGGATATTTGCACCTTTTTCTACTTGGTTAAGCACCTAATCAAAGTGAACCAATAAAAACTCTCATTTTCTCCTAAGTTCAACAAATTCTTGTGTTGTGGAACATTTAGTAAATAAAACCTTCCTCGGGTTCCCTCTTCCCCGAAGTAGTGAAACAACAGATCAGTGTGATAAGTTCGCCTCTTACTATTTCTCACCTTAACGCTAGCATTGCCTCCTTCAGAGAGATTTCTCTGACAATATAATGTCTTCTTCCCCTGTATCCCCATAATACTGTATACGTCTTTAATATGGATAGTTAAAAATAAGACCATGAAATTGCAACAGGTCAGTGCCTAGCACATAGTGAGCACTCAAGCGAAGGATGAATCTTGCTTTAAGAATATGAAGTGAGTCAAAATGAATTATGTTAATTCCAACCTTAAGTACTTCCCTTGGCATTTAATGAGGGATCATTGTCTTTGAACACAAATATATCAGGCAGTGGGGTTTTTGAGACCTGCAATACTGAAGTCTGCCCAAAAGGTGTTGATTATTTATGAGGACACCATATTTTTAAAAAATGAACTCAAACAATTGCTACAAGGGTAATATACAGTAAATGAAAAAAACAAAAACCACTAATACAGCCCTGGCCATTTTGCTCAGTGGTTAGAGCATCAGTCCATGGGCAAAAGGATCGTGGGTTCAATTCTAGGTCAGGAGCATGTACCTGGGTTCGAGGTTTGATCCCTGGCCACCATGTAGGAGGCAACCAATTGAAATACATCAATGTTTCACTCTCTCTCTTTCCCTCCCTTCCACTCTCTAAAAAAATCAATGGAAAAATATTCTCCCGTGAGGATTAACAAAAAAACAACCCCCCCTCCCACCAAATAAAAACACTGATGCAATGGATTTCTCATCATGGCTGCTTTTTTATTTTTTTAAGAATAGTTTATTGATTTTTAGAGAGAGAGGAAGGGAGAGAAACCTCAAGGTGAGAGTGAAACAACAATTGGCTGCCTCCTACACACCCCCTACTGGGGATCAAGCCCACAACCCAGGCATGTGTGCCCTCCCCCCACCTTTCAGAGCCTGGGACAACCCCCAACCAACTGAGCCTCACCAGCTAGGGCTTGCGGTTGCTTTTATGCATACATACTTAAAATAATTTTAAGTGGTTGGAATAGGCCCATAGAACAACTTTATTCTGTGGTGTTGCCATTTCATGTTTTGATTATTTAAAACACTGAAATGATAAAACAAAAATTAAACTCCAACTGAATTTGTTGTGGGTAAATTAGTGGTGATAAAATATCAGTTACTAAAATCTGCTCTTAAATGTGTTCTGGTTGGATCACTGAGTGACTGATCCCTCCCTCCTCATACCACTCATTATGTGACTTATGATTCTTGGTAGTTTATCAAGTAACTTTAATGCAAGTCTAGCTTTTAGCTTAATTTTATAATTTGTTAATTTTGGAAAAGTACTCGAATGCTTGCTTTAACACGGTTACATCTCAACACAAATATTACAACAGCCTCAGTATCATCAATTTACATGCCTGGTGGTACCAAGACTACAAATTATTTCTAACAGTTATTTCCTTTGGTCCTACTTCTTTGGGATTTATATACTGCTGTGCATTCTTCTTTTCAGGTTGTAAGCTATATTTACTTAGCAATGAAATTGGGAAAAAACTGACTAGAAAACAAGTCTGAGGGCTTTTAAAAATTATACAGTACATTAGTCAATGCTCTAGCAGCTAAACCATCCAGGGTCATATATGCAAGTTATACCACAGGCAAAGGCATGAGAAAATGGACTAAACCTGCTATAACATTCACCACTATAAATGCTCTATAATAACCACATCGGTATGATAATAAAGCAGTCAAGAACAAACTTAACTTGTTTCTCTTCGGTCTGAGTATATGTGGATATTTGCGTATTTAATTGGTACATATACATTCCAAGTATCCAAATTATTTCAATCCTATATCCATTTACCTCTCAGAGTGGTTTAAAGCAACTACAGTGACACAAAAAGAAAGAAAAGGAAAAAAAATGGATGCCAGGTTTCTTGTTAAATAAAGCTGTATCAAACTGTTGAACTGATGTTACAGTAGCTATTTCTGCAGGAAACCATAGATTTCTGTAGTTCCATTACTTCATCAGTAAACCTTAATTTTTCTAATAGGGTTTCAAGTAATGAAATACTCTTGACACATTGGGAATTATTATACATGAAAAAAAGATTGAGGATTTTTGTTGTTAATTCTCACCCAAGGATATTTTTCTATTGATTTTTACAGAGAGTGGAAGGGAGGGTGGGAGGGAGGGAGAGAGAGAAACATCTATGTGAAAGAGACACATCGACTGGTTGCCTCCTGCAGGCTGCTGAGCCAAACCTGCCAGGGCGAGAGTTTTTTCTTTTCTTTTTCTTAGTCAATCATCAAACATATTTTCATCTGAACAAGGAAGTTCTTTCAGTTTTAATATAAGTTTTTCAATGAAAAAGAATAAATTTACAATAAAGTTGGGGGTTCTCATTCAGTAAGTCTTCTGATCTTCAGATTCTGGCCTAACAGAGTAGAGCAATAATTACAGGAGAAAAATAATCTCCTGTGGCGTCATGTTAGAGGCTGGTTTTCTTGTTATGATGAATTCTATCATAAGTTGTCAGGTTTCCGAGATTTGCACAGTGCTTGAAAATGGAACTGCCTGAGGAAGATTCAGAAAGCCTTGTTCTTGGGCTTACACAGTAAGCACTTTGTGTGATTCTTAATCACATTTTTATCCAGAACACAATGTTACAGGTCACATTTTTTCTCAATGATGCTTATACTGATTTGTGCTCTATAAATATAAACATATTTACACACAGAATACACACACTGACACGAGGATGTGATTAGCCAGCCATCCATAAGCAGAATGGAATAAAAATTGCAGGAAGAGTAGTATATGATGCCAAGCCCAGACAGATTATAGACGCCAATCCCAAGAGTGCCGAAGCAAAAACACTTCTCTCATCACGAATAATTATCTTCAAAATCTCACAAAACTGGAAAATAAAATTTAAGAATGTTAGAAAAGGTGGTTAAGCCTAAGAAGAATCACATATGCCAAATACTAAAGCACAATTTTCCTAGCTAGCTTCTGTCTATCAGAAGAACTAGAATTTCTCTTATAACTTATGAAGGAATTTACGTATCAGCAGTTCAGTTTCTTGATTCCATATACTGTAACAGCCCGCTGAAATGACATCTTTGGCAAATGGGTTAATAATGGCAGTGGCAGCTTTGGCCGGTTTGGCTCAGCGGTTAGAGTGTCGGCCTGTGGTCCGGAGAGACCCGGGTTCGGTTCCCGCTAAGGGCACGTACTTCGGTTGCAGTTTGTCCCCAGCCCTGGTTGGTCGTGCGGGTGGCAGCCACTCGATGTGTCCCTTCACGTCGATGTTTCTCTCTCTCTCTCTCTTCCTCTCTCTCCCTCCCACTCTATCTGTACAAAAAATTGAAAAATATCCTCGGGTGAGGATAAAAAAAAATAATAATAATGGCAGTTGTCTTTGTAAATACAGAACTTTTATAGAAAACTACAGAGAAGGTAAACACATAAAAGTTCAGGATTAAATGTCAAAAGCATTAAACTGCCTATCAATAACAATATATTCTAAAATTAGATGAGCAAAGAGATCTCTAATCTCAAGTGAATAAATTGTCTATTATTATGGGTGAATTCAATTCCTACAATTTATGATTCTAAAATTTGGTGATATAATGATAACTTGTTAACTTTCTAATTCAAATTTAAGAGACAATTTTGCAAGTCTCGTGTTGAGCTGGTAATAGTTGTATATACGAAGAATTCAAAAATGAGATCCAGAACCAAATAATACCTCATTGTTTCTGGAAAGTAGAGACCAGACCTCCTTCAGCATTAATGACCTACTTCTCACAGAGCATGTCCAAAAAAGCAGTTCTAAGAACTGGAAAAATTGGGATGAGGATTTTTTTCCCGGGGAAGTCTACTCTGTGGCCAGTTTGTTAGACCATTCAAAGTGAAGACAAAAACTCAAGTTCCACAAGAGGTCCTATGCAGCAACAGCAATTAAAACCCTTCTCTACTTCTGTAAAACCCTACAAAGTTTCCAAAGATGAAAAACTACTCCAACTATTTATTTATGCAGATTAAATATTTTACTACCTTAAAAAAGTACTTGCACTGTTTTCCTGTAGAAATATATAATACAGAGCTATATGTGTTCCACGAAAGGGTAACTCCTAATTATCAGATAGAAATACTGTTTTCCTTGGAGAAATGATTTGTTTGGTTCCTAAGTAAATCTGACGTGTTTCCTTTTGTACACTTTTGGTGCCCGTGTTTGTAGATGTGGTGAAATTCATTTCTGAACAGGCCTGGAGCTGTGATTCTTGAATCCCTGCACAGTGCTCTAACTGTATTTTAATTCACCTACAAAAGCATTCCTAGAGTGAGTTTGTTGTGGCCCTATAAATAATCACAAGGAGTTTCATATATTGATGTATAGAAGCATAATACTTTCATACTCTGCTACAGAAGAGAGATTTTTCCCACATGGGTCAAAAAATTATCAAAATATGGAGCAATAAAAAACATCAGTTATGCCCTGGCCGGTTTGGTTCAGCGGTTAGAGCATCGGCCTGCGGTCCTGAGAGACCCGGGTTCGGTTCCCGCTAAGGGCACATACCTCGGTTGCAGTTTGTCCCCGGCCCTGGTCGGTTGTGCGGGTGGCAGCCACTCGATGTGTTCCTTTCACGTCGATATTTCTCTCTCTCTCTCTGTTCCTCTCTCTCCCTCCTACTCTACCTGAACAAAAAATGGAAAAATGTCCTCGGGTGAGGATAAAAAAAACCAAAAAAACAAAAAAAACATCAGTTACATGTACTCAGAATCATTTGGCCTAAAAAATATCTGAACATGAAGAAGAGTCAAACATGAAGGTCATTTTGTGATTTACCTAGGCTTCCATTTTAAAAGTGAACATTAACAATACCTCTTTAACAACTGCAAGCAGGCTGAGAAAGCTGCTAATTGCAAATGAAATTGCAGACCTAAAATGTTAACTAACTTTAAAAGAGAAGAGGTTTTGACAGGAACTAAAAATCCATACTCCTACCACCCCCTTTGGCTTGTGGCTAATTTAACCACCTTAAATTCTAATATCGTTTTTTTGTGTGTTGTTTTTTAGTTTATACATTAAAATTACCTTCCAACAGCCAATGGCTCTTCTTGAAAACCAATGTTTTGATCTCTAGGGAATCCATAACAGCCTAACCCACCTTTTGGAGCTAATGCATAAAGGATCTTAACAATGTGGGAGTCTAGACAGAGATTAAAGTCAACACAATTCAAAATACCCAGGGGAAGATGTGTTTGAAAGCCACACACAGGAGTAAGAGATCTACCAGGGAGGTCCTCTTATCGGGAATTTTGATAGTTTATAACAAAGGGCATCCATTCTCTGCAGCTTACAGAGGGAGAGTACTACAAGCTTCCTTGTTTAAATGAACAACACTTTGTACACAGTGTTATGAATTAAATATAAACTCTGGACACCTTCCTTCCAATTGCAATTCTTGGGAGAAGTTGAAAGCACACGGCAGATTTTGTCATTTCAACTGTTGGTTGGACACTTTGATGACTTCTGCAGCAATGACCAGGCAGCTCCCTAGCGGGGACTGCACTGCCACACCCCTCCCCGCCTGCCAGGCACATCGCCACTTACTTTGTCTCCCTTAGGAACACCAGAACGTTCCTTACTCAATCTATAACTCAATGCCCGATTCCAGGGGGGAGAGATGGTTAGGGATGGGAGGGGGGCGTCCCCGCTGGGCCCACACTGTGTACCTTGTCCGCCTGGGGGCTGACCGCTGTGTCAAATCTGCAGTAAGTCACGAAGTGCTCGCAGTTGTTCCACAGCAGGCTGTAGGTAGTGATGCCCAGCAGCTTCTCGGCCCTACACGCCACCTCTTCGTTGAGCAACGCCTTCTTCTTGAGGGACTTGTCCAGGTGATTGACCAGGATTTTGGCTCCGTAAGCGAAGTCATCCACCGTGTCCACTCGGATGCTAGCCACCCTGCCAATAACGCCCAGGATGAGACGCTTGTTGGAGACCACCTTCTGCGTGAGCCTCTTGTCACTCGTCAGAGCCAACAGGACGTCGGGCATCATGTGGGCGACACGGTTGTCGCCCAGGTAAATGCCATAATGGGTCAGGTGTGTCCGAGGCACCTCCAGGACGTCGCCGCGGTGGAAGGAGTTGATGTCATGTAAACTGGTCCTCGCCTTGTCTTCACCCTGGGTGCCGGAACTAAAGAGTTTGAAGTTGGAGATGAGAAGCAACTTCTCCAGCAGTAGGGACACCGCCTCCAACATTGGGTTCTTCATCCTGCAGGGAAATGAGAGTCTTGAAGGATCGCCCCCACTCCCGCACTGGCCGGGCCAGGCTGGGTAAGCTTGCCAGACAGGGGCGCTGCGCTGCAACCCACCTGCAGACCAGCAGACCGACCCGCTGGGGAGGGCCCCAGCCTAGAAGGGAGGGGAAGGAAAAGGGAAGGGAGTAGTAGCCTGGCGATCACACCGCGCTGGGGACTGAGGAGGGTGAGGAACTGGCGGCCGACCTGGGGACAGTGAGACCAGTGCTGCGAGCAGTAGGCAAAGAAGCGCACCTGACTCTGGGGCATTCCAGGGCGCGGGGCAGGAGAATCTGTGCCTGCTGCCTTCGCAGGGGCCTTTTATCCTCGCCCAGGGGGCGGAGCCGAACGCCGTCACAGACTCGGCGAGAGCGCTGATTGGACACTGGGAGCCAGAGCTGCTCCCGGAGAGGGCCCGGGGACCTTAACTCTTTGGAAGGGGACCAGCCACCTCCGGATTCCAGGCTTCTGCACTGCTGTTCATTCCGGACGAGCTCCCCCTTGCACTCACCACCTAAGCCCCTCAATTCTTAAGCGTCCATTTTTGGACCGTAGAGACCGAGGCGTGGCCGTGAGAAGGTTCTGCACCTGTCCGGACCAAGGCACTTCTGGGTACTTAGGCAACGTTTTCGGGGAAAGCCCTTCGGGTGAGATTTCTGTCCCCCTGAGGAGCTGGACACCTGGAGACCTCGGCTAACTAAAGTGTTTGTATTAACAGCGAAGTGTGCGCGCCCAGAAAGCCTGAGGATTCCTTCCTGAACTCCGAAAAGCCTTACATCCTCTCACACGCCACGATCGATCCTCCTCTCCATTAAATGTCGCGAATCCCCCTTATTTTCAGCTGGCGGGGGTGGGGCGGGGCAGCGACAGGCACGTCCACACCTGTCAGAACCTCAGGAGCCTGTGCGCTCCAAGGCACCAGCGACCGTTGAGCGCGCGGCTCCCAACGGTCAGTGTGATAAACGTTGGGGGTCGGATTCACGTCAAGCTTATTTCTCCAGCAGCAGGGTTACATGGACCTGGCTTCGGCTGACCCACCCAAACTTTGCCTCTCTCATTTAAAGTGCAGCCCTCCAGAGGTGGCCAAAGAAGGGTGAGGCATTGAGTTCCTAGTCAAACCGTCTGCACCTTGACACCGGTGCATTGAGAGGGTGGTCCTGGGAGCAGCCGACCCTCCCTCTGCGCCAGGCTGGGCACTCGGTGTCCTGATCCTGCGCACAGTTCCCTGCTAACGCATTATGTGAGCGATTTCCAACCTTTTTTCATTTCATGGCACACATAAACTAACGACTAAAATTTGTGAAACACAAAAAGATATTTTCTGTCAATCTGACCCGCCCCCCCCCTCTAAAATGTATAACTGATTCATTCACACCGGATGGCTCTTGTGTTGGCTGTTGTCATTTTTTAATTTGACAGTCTAAGGGAAAAGAGGTCAGTGCCCCTGACTAAATAGGTATCGCATGTTTGTTTTTTAAAGCGCGGTATAATCAATGCAAAAACACCCAAAAGTTTTTATTAAAAGTCCACAATGTATCCAGTGTTTAAAAAAGAAAAACTACATATATGTGTTCATATGTATATATAGTATATATGTTTATAGTTAAATACATTGTTTTTAATCACTGGTACAGAGGTCAAGATGGACACTCACTCTGAGGGCTAATGAATCATGGCAGAACACACGTGCTGAGTGTGCTTATCATTTAGGAAGCAATATGAATGTAGCGTAAGAAAAATCACTATGTTCTATAACAAAGTTCCAGTGAACCAGGTATCAACATAGGACATCTGTACAAGATTTATTTCATTAACTACAATGTTTTAGAGTGATAGTTACACTCTAATACAGAAGGACTGATTCAAAGCCACTGAGTTAAATGTCAGAGCCAAAGTCAGTGACTTTGGCATTCAGGTCAATAAGAGTTTCATCCACCATTTGTTTACCTTTGATTTATAAAAGAGCTGGTATACAGAACAACCTGTCTTAAGCTCCACCATGCTTTCCAAAAAACAAGCACGATCAGAATTAGATTTCATTGCTTCATCCTTGCTCTGGCTATGCTGGTGGGCTGCAAAGATTCTTGTCTGCTTTGACCTTCCATTTACTCACAAGCATTCGGGTTTCCAGCCATAGCTCCCCACAACTTCACATGGGAATAATTTCCCCTGAACCTCTTTCCATCATCCAGTGGCACAAGTACATAACATTTTGTTAACCGGTATTGCATGTTTTTTAAATTCTTGCTTTAACACCAGTGTGCCTCTAGCAGCGCACTGGTTGAAAATCTCTGTTTTATGCAAATACCTAAATTCCGCGGAGGAAGGCCACAATGGAGAACCTCACTAGTCTCCACAAAGCCGCGCAGTACGGGGCTAATAGGATTCATCAGCGAGCAGATCCTCCGCTTGCCTGGGGAGGGGGCTTGCTGAGGTTGATGGATGGAGAGCCATTCATCTAACCTGGAAGACCAAGGGGACCACAGGGACCCTGCAGAGAGGAGGCCAGCCTCTGTTCCCACCCTGGGTCTACCATCAATGCTCTGTCCTAGTCGTTCTGCTTGCTGATGATTTTTGTTCATTTCACAAATGATCCCAAATCCCATTATAGTCCCAGTAAAGAGAAGAAAATTCAATTTCCCACAAGTGAATCAAAAGAAAAAGGTGGAGAAGGGGAGAGAGGAAGTTGACGTGAACATTTAAAGTCTTCAATTTCCCCAGGATCCCCTCTAAATTTTTTTAAATAAAGCTCGGAGCTGTCGAGTTGCTGAAACTGATCAAATGCCACTGCACCGGGGCGTTTGTTAGCTTCCAACAGCAGCACACCAGCTCATCAGCTTCCGGATTCAAAATCTGGGGACATTTTTTAAAGTCTGATCAAGACCTCTCATATACCCATATACCGTACTGCAGACCACACATCGGGCTCCTGGGCTCTACTCTGAGAAAGCACCCAGGTCGGAGCCCTCTAGTGTTCAAGAGCCGACCGGCCCCAGGAGATCAAAGGGGATTTGGTAAAGAGCTAGTTCTGTCTCTGGTGGTCACTAACTCGGTTTACAGCGCTGGTAACTGTCGCCTTCCAGGGAAATTTGCGGGAGCCTAATGCATGGGGAACTAAACTGCCTCACCGCTTCACAAAGGGCTCTTTTAGGACAAAAAATATTAAGGAGAAATCACCTAAAGACCCTCAATAGCTGCATCCCCAGTGCGTTTTGTGCGAGGCAGGCAGTGCTAAGGTGATTTGCCTTTGATTTTTCTTTCTTTCCCAGTGCGATTAATGTTGCAGCTGCCTCTAGAAAGGGAGTCACTTAAAAAAAAAAAAAAAAAAGGTAGGTGAGATGAGTAAATGAGGCTTAAATCGGTGTAGGTTGCTCAAGATACAGGCTTTCTGCTGTCTCTGGAAATGAAATCGGGATAGGACACGTCCAGTTTCTTGGGAGTTATTTTTGTCTCTGATAAGCCAAAATATTATGCCATTAAATAATTATTTTTTTGATGAAGCTACCCGAAAGCAGCCGTCTCCCCCACCCCCCTGCCTTCCGGGAATTCGGCTTGGGGTAACCCGAAGGACAGAGGCAGCAGAATGTCGTTTGTCTTCTTTGAAACCTCTTAGGCCTGGAGGAGTTAGTGAGGATTAGGCTACTTTTCAATGGAAAATACGCATCATCCAAGGAGCTCTTGTTGGCTCAACTGATTGCCCCGCCCCCTATTCTTCAGCAATCATTGTAACCTTGCAAAAGGCAAATTCTCTTTGTTCTCAGAGTAGTTAATATTTCTGTGGCTGAGGGTCAGTTTTTGATGGCTCTCTAGGGGAACACTTTATAAAAATACGTTTATATAATAAGTGGCTCCCACTCCCACTAATACTTTCCTGCCTGCATCAACCTTAGCTAAACTATGGGAAGACACTCACTGTTGGAAAGAAGTGACCAAGGGAAATCTAACGTTAGAAAGCTCTCCTTCCTAAACCAGAACTGGTCATTTGAACAGAGGAGAATCCCCTGGTTGCTAAAAAGACCTCTTGATTCCCAGATTGTGTTCGAGTTTCCATGTGCAACCGTCTTACACGCACAGGAAAGGGTCTCCAGGCCTGGCGATTCTGAAAGAGCTGAGGATTTCCTGGTCAACATACACCCTGCACTGAAAAGTCTACTCTCACCTCCCCTGGGCCACCGCTTCCCTAAGGCCCAAAGAGAGACAGTGACAGCAGCGGTATCCTGACCTGCGCTTCAGGCCCTGGGTCCTCCCAGCTGCAGTCCTCAGGCCTGGGTCCATTTTTTTCCCCACTGCACAGGCCAAGGCTCTGCTGGGTCTCTGTGCAAAGGAAGCTGAAATTGGAGCATGAAAAGCCCACTTAACTTCCCAGCTTCACGCTTGCTGGGGTCCCCGGAGAAAGAGGTCGCTGCTCGCCCTGAGAGACAAGGTGCAGAGTCCAGCAGAAGCCTGGAAGGCTACTGGATTTCCTACCGACAGACTTTTTACTTCTGTAGCCTCCTTGTACCTCACAGAAGGTTTTGAATAGGAGGGATATGATCACAATATTGTGTGCTTCCTGTGTGCTAGGCACTGAACACACATTTTCCCACTTAATCCTCCTAGCCTGCGAAGCACTGTCTACATTTTACACAGGAAGAACTTGAGGCTTAGAACTTTGTTTCTGTCCCCGTGTTAGTGTGGATCAGGACTCAGCCACAGGTTTCTGTCCCAGGTCCATCACCTGGGGAAGGCCTGACTTTTTATCAGTTAATTTATTGAGTACCTGCTGTGTGCCAGGCGCTGTGCCCAACCCTGGAAGTTCGATGAAATAACTAACCCTAAACTTGGATCTCACACCTTTTAATTTAGACTTCACTTCCCTGCTTCTCAAATGCCACTGGGTCCAGTTTTTAACATCAGTTAATTTACTGCAATAGAAAGGTTTGGTTAAGGTTGTGGTCAACAGTACACCCTCACCAGGAACTCCCCAGCACTTGAGTGGCCAGTACTCCTCCACTGACCTTAGTTAGACACGGGACTCTGGGGCAGTTTAACATCCTGCTCAAGGGCACAGAGTCAGAGCAGAACCAGGGCTCTGTCCCAGACTTCTTGCCTGTTAGACCGCCCTTCCTCTGGGTCCTAAACCTGACAAATTTGGTTTCCTAAACTTATGTTTGTAAATTATTGTCCTCCTTTAAGGTTTTTGTTGTTTTTATATTATTTTTAGATTATTAAATCATTGAGCACATAAATAACGATAATCTTGACAACAGTTTTTCTTCTGTTCTTCTTTCTTCAGTTTGTTTACCTATACTCAGGTCTGGCCCCAAGGACACATACAGAGGCCCAAACTAGCTAACTCTAAGGAGGTAGGGGGAATAAAGGCTTTTGTGAACTTCCCTCAGGAAGCAGGGGAAAAAGAACAAACTCCTTTTCACGGAGCCTCCTAACTCAGTGCTACCTGGAATGTCAGGCTAACAGGAATCAATTACCTCCTGGGAGGAAGACTTCCCCAGCTTCCTGGTTGGCTAGCACCTTATTCTGAGGGCCTCAATCTCGCCTGTTGTCTTTGGAAAGATTAAAGGCTGCAGCCAGAAGGGCATTTGTTGGGGAATTTTCCCCCCTCAAATAGTAAAATAAGAACACCAGGCAAAACAAAGAATTAATATTTAATAACATGAAAAATCATGACCAAAATGAATATAGCTTACTATAAATTAATTTATTAATTGAGGCAGCAGTAATGTGAAGGAGGCAGACATTCTGTAGGCGGTGGAGAGCCACAACAGGCTTTCGAGAAAAGCAGAGACCAATCAGAAGGCCACTGAGTCCAGGGTGGAGGTGAGAAAAGGAGCTGGACTAAGGCAGTGGAAACGAGATGGAGGGGCATGGAAAAAAAGCTGCAAGATATTTCTGAAGACAAATTGGCAGCATGTGGTGACCTGGATGTATGGTGGTGGTAGGACTGGTAAGAGGAATAAGGGGGACCAGGGATGACTCTGAAGTTCCCTGTTGAAGCAACTGGACAACCAGTGTTTGAAACCTTTCACTGAGAGGAGGAAGGCAGGAGTAGGAACAGGTTCATGGAGGAAAATGAATTCAGTTTTTGGATGTGTTGAGTATCAGGAGTCTGCGGCTTTTCAAAGTGGGGATTTTAAACTGGTATGTTGCCCGTGGTGAAATTAAGTGGCAGTGATCGGATCTGGGTTCGTTTTCTCACAAAATCAAAGAATGAGTTCATGGACAAAGGGGCAAGTTAGAGCAAAATTTATCTGAAAAATAGACAGACTCCCCACAGTGGAGAGGGGACCCCAGTGGGTTGTCGGTGAGGCTCCTTTGTCTAGGGGTAGATATATGCCGTACTAACCACTGATTGGTTCTTTCAAAGAATTCTGCTTTAGCAACATACATACATTTTAAAGCTTGTGTTTCCCCCCTAACTGGGTTTAGCCCTACGTCATCTAGCTCTAAAATCATGTTACCCTTCTGGAGAAAGCATATGTGGGCATTACTGATTTTAAAAAGCTCGCTCTATCGGGTGAATTGGGGCAGATTTTATTAGCAAAGATATATATTGTCCCATAACATTCCCTAGTTGGAAGTGGGCAGATTTTGATTTAAAAACAGACATTGATTACATATTCCTGACATTTGCACAGAAGCTTTACTCCCAGGGAAGAGACAACTTAGTTGGGTGTGATTAAGAACAAACAAAGCAGCCCCAGGTATCTATAAGGGTCTTAGAGACTACCCTTTTCATGATAATTTCAACTCCCAGACTATTAGTGAGGAGGAGAGGAAACATCCTTGGAGCAACACTACGCTTGCTTTGGTTTCTTTTCTAAATCCAATTTTGGTTTCCTGTCATTCTTTTCAAGGTAACCTGGCTTTCTGCAACAGAAACACACTCTTTGGTTTCTCAGCAGAGCTCATTCAGTAATCCTCTTGCCTTGCTCCCAGAAACCAATAGGTATATTAATTGGAATAGGTCGGAACTGCCAGCACTATATTCTTCTTTCTTTTTTTTAAATCCTCGCCTGAGTATATTTTTCCATTTATCTTCAGATAGAGTGGGAGGGAGAGACAGAGAGAGAGAAACATCTACGTGAGAGAGAGACATGGACTGGTTGCCTCCCACATGACCACGGCCAGGGGCAAACCACAACTGAGGTACATGCCCTTGACTGAATCGAACCCAAAACTTTTTGGTCCACAGGCTGCCAATTTAACCCCTGAGCCAAACCAGCCAGAGCCAGTACTATACTCTTTAACAGTAAATAGAATTCACTTGCAAACCATCAGGATCCCAGAGAAAGGAACTATATAATCCTTGTCCCCCTCTTGCCTGAAACCAGCCTTTTTGGGTTTTTTGTTATGTAACTGACCTGTGCTCCTTTCGGGAGTTTCTAATTCACAATAAAGACAAGTTTTTCATTTCTATAAATCAGGAGAGTTAATGAGGGCTGGGAGTTTCTGGCCTTGGAGGCACAATTTCCCATGTTGATTTTAGTTTGAGATTTGTAGAGTCTGAATAAACCTCCAGATATACTATGTACTAGGTTAAAGGTGCACTGTCTGTGTGCCAAGCTCCGAGTCCTTGCAAACCTCCCCACGTCAGCCTTCTTTTCCCATGGTCCCATCCCTTACCTGCCTAACCTGCCTCTATCTCCTCATTGGGATTGGGGTTCTTGCAGTGTCACGAGAAAAGCATTTTCAGGGACCCATAAGAGAGGATGATTTATTCTGGAAGCAAAATTAAAGGAGTTCCCCAATGTCCCATCTCTGTCCATCTCTCCATGGAAAATCAGGGCCAGAAATAGAATCAATGTCCAGAGATCCTGTGGCATATTAAAGCTTAGTTCAGTCCAGCATCCAGCTAGCTTAGCTCATGTTCCTGGCTGCAATCTGTTGCTGTGCTGTGGTATCCAGGCTCCCTCTTGGAGGATGCGTTTGGAATCTGTGCAGCCAGTGGCCATGCGGCTGCTAAGGCCACATGGCTACTGTGGAGAGAATGCACTAACACAGGTTCTGAGCAGGAGAGAGAGCTTTGTTCTCCTGGGATTTTAACCAGGAGCTTTTTCAAAATAACCAATTCACTTGCCAAGATTTCATGGGCTTGGATTAGGATCCATGCCCCCTAGCCAATGATAGTTTTTCCAGGTTAGACTGACAGGCCTTTATGGTCCAGCACCTCCCCCTGTGCCATTCTGACTTCTACTGGGCATGTCCTTATCTCCCCACAATCCACTAACAGAGTGGGGAAGGGAGAGGTGTTAATCCCCTTGGAGGGATAATGCTGCGATTTCTTAGGGTGTGAAGCTGTAGCTTCCTGGTGAAACAAACAGGGCTCTGCTTCCCAGCTGAATATGCTCAACAATTTCTGACTTCCTTTTGCTCTCTCCTTTCCCATCACTAGCTAACATCAGTTATATATATGTATACACACACACACACACACACACACACACACACACACATATATGAAGCAAGATCTCTAGAGAGAAGTCTGGCCAAAAGATAGAGACTTGGGAGTCAGACATGTCTGGGTGGTAATTCAACCTCGGGAGTAGGTGAAACTGTAAGGACAGCACAGAGAATGGGATGAGAAGCAGCCAGAACAGAGCTCCACGTAAAGGCCACACTAAGGAGTTCCAAGGTGCTTGAGCAGGACTAAGAGGCTGGAGAAAGTCTTACAAGAGGGCATGTTCCGTAGTATCAAATGCAGATGAGCTAGCAAGAGGGTCAAGGGGCCAGGGGACGAGGCAATAAGGAAAGTGCTGGAGTAGGTTCACAGAGCCAGATTGCTGAGGTTGAGAGAGGAAGAGTCAGGCAAAGGGAAGGCCTAGGCAAAATGGAGACAAGCCTTTCAAAACGTTTTTTAGATAGGAGAGGATCAAATGAAAAGGACCTTGTTCATTTGCTTTTTGTTTGTTTTAAATGGAGAGCACATGAGAATATATGCACATAAAGGGAGGGAAATCAGAGGAGAGGAAAATAGAGAGAGCCACAAGCGGACAGTCAGTCCCAGAAGAGGTGCAGGCAAGGCCATCAGAACTACAGGGGATGAGTAAGGACTTCTGTTCCTCTGAGACAGGAAAGGGGAAAGCAGATATGAAGTGCAGCTCTAGAAATGTTTGGAAGTTGCAGTCAAAAAGACTGTACTGCCTTTAGTTTGTGCTATAGACTCTAAAGAAGAAAACTCCCAAACTCAATCAGTTGACAAAGTTTGTGTAGATGCCTCAAGAAATCCATGCATGTATATTGGTCATTTGCTTGTGTAAAAATCTAAATGAAAAATTAGTTTTTAATTTCATTCCTATTCGGAGCATTTATTTATATTAAATTTTATGTGCAGGTTCCTAGGAACTTGATCTTTTTCCTCATTTGTTAAGTGACAATAGGCTCTCATTTAGTGACGTCAATCTCTAGTATTAAATTAGGGCTGTGGTGGGGTGCTGATAAGGGTATCGTATTAATGATAGGCACTAGGGAAAATCAGGCTTATCAGACTAATTCATTAAAATTCTTAATCACATTTTTATTATATCACCATAAATCATCACCATACCATTTACCATGAAACAGAAAATATTGACAGATAGTTAAAAGTGGTTAAATGTCCCCTGGATTAAAGTGTGAAAATATTTGTATAGCAAACCTTGAATTTAATTTGAGTTCAAAGCATTAGGACATTGTGTCATTAACTTTTCAAACTTTTTCCTACTGAGGATAAAATATTCAGCTATTTTCTATTTTCCAAATTCACCGTGAGAATACTACAAATGTGTTAAAATTCTAATTAATTTATATAATGCTTCTTTGAACCTGAACTTAATCTGTAGGCTTATGTGTAAAGATTATTTAGAATAGGTAATATGATTTTTGAAAACATTTAAAAAGAAGAGTAAGATTCTCTTCAAGCAAATAACAAGATTATCCCAGCTTGGATTTGAAGATCAGATACTCTAAAAGTGAGTACATTATTAAACAAATCACAGTTTATCAAGTTTTTTAAGTATATGCTTGATTGAAAAAAAAAAAAGAAATATCATCAAATGCCTATAGAATATATCTATGACTTCTCTTGTGTGTCTCACATATGTCTTTGTTATTTATAGTTCTATGTTCTGTTAAAAGTCACCTCTTCTATTCTACATTCAAGTGACCATATTTTTAATGCTGGTATTCAGTTTACCAAGCTGGTGTTTACTTTAATGTATATTTTCTATATTCTTTTACCTTCTATTCAATTTTGCATTTGTGCTAAGAATAATTTCCCCAAAGCCAAACCTCTTTTAGCCACCTACTAATGACTTTAAATCAGGAACATCTTTTATCTGGAAGTCCAGTACCATTTGTCCAAGTGCTTTGCCCTGTTGAACAAAACAAAGAGAAAAGTACTGAGTGTGACAAGAATTATATTGTAGTCATTAATGTTCATGTCATACATTTTAAAAAAGTAATTTCTATATGAATAATTTGGGTAAATAAGATTTTATTTGATATAATGACAATAAAATTAAAAAACACATTATAAATATATTATTAGTAGATGAATTCTATGTGAAGAACAAAATTAAAAAAGGTTTAAAAGACAAGCAATTTCCAAATCAGAAACCCTCAATGTTTATATGGGAATGTATTAGTTGCAGGAAAATGATAGAAAACTATTTAAGGGGATAATAAGAATCACACACAAAGCCAAATAAACAAATATCAAAGTAAATTAAACATATAAAGGAACTGAAGGGTGTCTTTTCTGCTAGACATTCACCATAAAAGTACAAATATTTTAATTTCATCACTGATGCCTATAGGTGATTGGCTAAGATGCACAGCTGAGGATGTGAGTTGTTTTGATCAACTTTACAATTCCTTCCTTTATCCATCAGCTACTGTATAGCTTAGGATGACTTCATGAGTTTCCAATGATTCAAAGGACAGATTAAATATTTAAGGCAATATTTAAGGCTAAGGGATATGGTGGACTGAGTTAAGTTACTGGTTTTAATTCCTCCATGGATGACCGAGACATATTTCAACCCAATTCCATAGTATCTGGCTTCAGCTGGTTCTGGACCACGATAGTAAGATGATAACTTTCTTCTCTTCAAATAGTGGCTCTCCTAACTCTATAGAATGCCAAATATTCTTTAGCTTCATGATTAGGTAACATAGGAACTATTTTCTTTCTTTTTTTTTTTTTATCCTCACCCGAGGACATTTTTCCATTTTTTGTTCAGGTAGAGTGGGAGGGAGAGAGAGGAACAGAGAGAGAGAGAGAAACATCGATGTGAAAGGTACACATCGAGTGGCTGCCACCCGCACAACCGACCAGGGCCGGGGACAAACTGCAACCAAGGTACACGCCCTTAGCGGGAACCGAACCCGGGTCTCTCCAGACCGCAGGCCGACGCTCTAACCGCTGAACCAAACCAGCCAGGGCAGGAACTATTTTCTTAAACATTGAGATACTAAGTTTTTTCTCGCTATATGATCTTTAAATCTTCTAGTCATACTCATTAAAATTATGTTTTAGTAAGAAGTTATCCACAAAGACTCAGTCTTATTTTCTTCCTCTTTCTGAACTGAGAGCTCTGTAGTACTAGCGTGTGTGTTACGTGTTGTTGATACAGGCTAATGTCAACAGCACATGGGAAACCGACACGAAAGAGAAAATGTTCCATGTTGAGATGCTTACCTGTGGGTCACTTCTCAGGGAGGTAAGGCCTCCACCACCAAGGGAATTTTTCAAAACGAAGTTTAATGCATGTATTCCTGGCAATTCATATCTATAGAATTAAGAAAAAGATGAATTATAACAAATTTTATCAAATATAAGGACTGCTAAAGGAAGTATCTACTTCCCAAGGAAATTCCTGAAGTCAGTTTTATGCTAGTTATAAAATAAATTAAGATCTAAATTTCAGTATAAATATAAATAGATATTTTACTCAAGAAGGCAGTGAGTGAAGCACCCAGGCTACATTCACTCAGAATATCTTTAGTCCAAAAAGCAAAGCACTTGGTAAATGAGAAGAAAGCATTTTTTGTTATAACTTATAATTTTGACATAACAATTGCAAAAATTGTATAAGAATTATATATTTTTCACTTAGATTTTCCAAATCTTGCTTTGTCCTTTTTATCTATATTTCTTTCTTTTTCTCTCTGTGTATACACACACACACTTTTTTTCCTGAACTGTTTAAGATATGATAAGTTGCAGATATGATGACCCGTAAACCCTAAGTTCTTCAAAGTGTTTCCCAAAAGACATTCTCTTACATGTCACAGCTAATTATCATAATAAAAAATTAGCATTGCTACAACTCTCTAATCTACAGATTTATTTAGAATTTGTCAATTGTCCCAGTAATGTCTGTTATAACCAAAGACAAGTCTAACTCATGCATTGCAGTCAGCTGTTCTGTTTGGCTTGTCTCCTTTGCAATGACTCAGTCTCTTTCTTTCATGGCACTGACATTTTTGAGGAACGTAGGCCTGCTATTTTCTAGCATCTCCATCAATGTGTGTTTGATGTTTCCTCTTGATTAGATCCAGGTTTTGCTTTTGTGGCAGGAATGCCACAGAGTGGTGGTGTTTTCCTTTCAGGTCAGTAGGCACATAATGTTGATTTGTCCCATTACCAGCAAGAAAGAGAAAAGCCGTCAACGTGTGGCTAGGAGATATGCTGGCACTGACAACTAGGCCTTAGTGTTCTTCTGAACATGAACTATTTCCCAGAACATCACTAACAGTCAAAGCCCCCCTCCATCATCATGCTTGGACACAGACGAAACAATGAACATTGTCACCATCATACAAATAGCCAAACATCCCTCTATCCTGGCTAATACAGGGTGGGGCAAAAGTTGGTTTATAGTTGTTTGTATGGAAAACAATATAATAATTACTAAAATAATACCTGTGTTTTAGAATAAACTCTGTGTTTTGCATACTCACAACTGTAAACCTACTTTTGTACCACTATATATATATATGCCTTTGGTTTCTTTATCAATTACAGTGCTAGCTTCATTCTGGTCTCTCTTCCTTCTATATAATAACCACCAATGGACATAGACAACAATACTGTGAAGGGGGCATAGGAGTGGGGAGGAGGGTGTCAATGGGGGGAAAAGGAGAAACATCTGTAACAAAAATTAGTTAATTAAAAAAAGATTTCAAAAGATACTCAGTGATAGAATTACCCCTGCTTCCTGGCATCACCCAATCCAGAGCCACTTCCTTAAGCCCTCCCTCAGATTCCCTAACACAAGCCCCAATCCTGTGAGTCCTTTCTAATAGCATCTTGCTGGGATGCCCCATGGTTTCCCATCTTGTGTGTTCTCCTTCACTGCAACAATTCAGAAACCCAGCTTGATCAACTACAGGTGTATTCCTGATGGTCTTGAGCTGCAAGGCATTAACACTAGTGATGAAAACTTTCATCAATTAGTTAACGTATGTCTGCCAGGTTTATCCATTGTAAAGTTACTATTTTCCTTTTGAAATTAATATATATCTTTGAGACTATGCATATATCCTGGTAATATCCAACTTTCTACCATAGTTGTAGCATCCATTGATGAGTCTTGCTTGAATCAGTTATTACTAAGATGGTTACCTGTGATATTGTGATTTATGGTAAGAAATATATATATATTTGGTCTTCCTCAGAGTTTCTGGCACAAAGCTCCTTGGAATTTCTTAAGCCATAAAGATATCTTTTGTTATGCTAATGAGGTAGGTTTTGCAATGACCTAGATCCCCAAGGGATGAGAGCTGGTCACCAGAGGAACCAACTCCGTGATTAGAAGGGAGGGGAGGGGGACTGAAGGCAGAATCAATTGCCAATTGCCAATGACTTAATCAGTTGTGCCTATGTAATGAAGCCTCTATAAAAACTCAGAAGGGCAGGGTTCAGGGCTGGTGAGCGTGCAGAGAATGGCAGGCCTGGAGAGGGCGTGGAGGCTCCTTACTCCTCCCCTGTGCACCCCTTCCCTCTGGCTGTGCCTGAGTCACATCCTTTTATAACAGATTGGCAATCTCGTGAGTAAACAGGGTTCCTGTGTTCTGTGAGCTGCTCTAGCAAATTATTCAATCCCGCGGAGGGGGGCATAGGAGCCTCTAATTTACAGCCATTTGGGCAGAAATACAGGTAACAACCTGGGCTTGTGACTGGCCTCTGTCGGTGGTAGAGGGGCAGTCTTGTAGGACTGAGCCCTTAACCTGTGGGATCTGATGCTATTTCCTGGTAGACAGTGTCAGACGCGAGTTGAATTGTAGGACACCCAGGTGGTGTCCAGAAAATTGGTGGGCATATGGAAACACCCCACACACATTGAAATTGGGCCCAGAAACTCAAAATACTGCCAAATGGTAATTTTTCAATTTTCATCACATTTCTGTTATAATGAAAAGTTTCCCATTATCCCCTACTTATTAATATTGTTTTGGACCTCATTGTATTCCTATTTTATTTGATGGATTGTAATCAATATTTTATTTATTTTAATGGTCAAATTATTCCATATTTGTCTAATGGGAACTCCTTCAGACTGGCCCATCTATTCTTGATTTATCCCTATCATTCTTACAGCACCTCTACTTTTGGCCACCACGAGATATTCCAAGTTAAGCTTTCCCCTCTCACCCCAATCCTACAGTCACTTCTCCACACTGCCCTGATTCCTTCTAGTGTACAATGGTTTTTAGAAACAAAAACTGGACACTTGCCATGTTCACTGCTTCTAGCTCCTCTCAGCCAACAGAAGGAAGAAACAGCTGTATGTACGCACACATACGTTGTAATCTACACCTATTGCCATGTCTTTCTTCATTTATTAAAAACTGTGAATTAATCCCAATGCTTCCAATCTAACCCCACAAAGGCCCTTCTAGAGGTGAAAGTCAGAATTTTAGGTACACCTTCCACCACCAAATGGTAAGAGGTAAAAAGCAATGGCAGCTTTAACTGAAAAGCATTTCACAGGATGGGTATAGCGTGGTCCTTATGAACATGCATGTCCAGCGCTGCATATTCGCAATCCCTCTTCCTAAAGCCCTTGATTAGATTTAGTCCTAGTTTCTTCTGGCCACCATCCTTACAGATACCAGTCAGTCCTCCCACGTATCAGCAATGTAATGACGTCTCTCATATCAGCAATGGGCTTCCACCAAACCTAAACAAATGTTTTCCTACGGTCACTAACAATCAGTTTGAAAAAGCCTTATACCACAGTACAACTTGCATTTTAACCATAGAAACACCCTTCCAGTTTCTCTGCTATAGGTTCAGCCATGGTGCTAGCATACTGCTCTCAGCCTTAGAATCTAAAACTGTTTGCCAGGACACAAAATTGGTGGTGGAAAGAAAGATATCCATACACAGCATCTATTGTGTTAATCATGAGGCTAGTATCAGGAAGTATTTTTTAATTTTCTCTAATTTGGTCTTTTTTTTTTTTTTTTTTTGCCTTCAAGCAGTATTAGCCTTTGATCATGGATTTAACCATACACCACAAAGTATAGGCTGATGTCAGAATATCTCAATAGACAGTTCATGAGAGTGTTCACAGGGAAGAGTTACTAATGATCACAAGACAAAGTTATACTGTAACTTCTGTCTGGTGCTCATTGTACTTAGAGCATGGAAACAATATGTAAACAAACACACATATATATTAACAGTGTGTACTAATGGATTGTTCTATACATATGTATATTCATGCGCATGTGTACATGCATGGAAATAATTCAGAGAAGATCAACACTGTCCAGGGCAGTGTGAAACAGGGTATTTGGACCAAGATATGTATCTATGAAAGGAATAGAGGTAGAAATGGAGAAATTAAATAAAAAGGGAAAGCTAGCTGAATTGCTTGGATGGAAGGTAGATGCACTGATGTCTAATAATAAATTATTTTCCTTCAGTTATGATATTTTAAACATGTTTTTGTTAATTTCTTGAACAATAACATGGAAACAAATGTAATTGAAACTATGCAAGGATATATAAAAACAATAAAATTCATGTGGAAGTAGAATAAATCTCTTCATTGGTTATACAGGCACAAATATGAGTTTATACATCCAACATTTGTTCTAGAATAAAGATTGACTGGAGACAGCTTCATTATCAGTGTCTTTAAAACAACTATTTTCATGCAGTGAATAGTGTGTTAATTGTAAGACTAGTATCAGGAAGGATTATTTTTTTCCTCTTAAACATTTTAACTTCAAGGAACTGAAACAACTAGCCTTTGATATTTTTTTTCCACTGTGCACTTTCAGCTACCAATTTTACATACTATTAAGTACATTCATTATTACTCAAATTAAAGCCATGTTTAAGAGTAATTTCTACATGTGTTATTTCAAGCATAGATTGATTTTCAAGAAGAAAACCTGCCCTAGGTTACTATTTCCTTTGTAAGTTGATGACTGTTAATATAAATTTGACCTCCTTTTCCCCTTGTACATATAACCAGGTGTAACGTGGGCTTAATGAGGAAATCAAAAATTATATGAGAACTGTTATTAATCAGACTTTCATAATTACTGCAGCTATATTCAAAACAGAAAAGCTTGCTCATGAATTTCAGGTGATACAGTATTCTCCCCAGACTTCTGCATTCATTGCTTGAGTTATTGGACAAATATTTCTTCCCTGCTGTGCAGCATATATACCAGTCTTCCAGAACAATCTAGGGCAGTGGGTGACAGGAGAATATTATAAGGTCTATCGGGAGGTCAAAGAAAAATGAAATGTTGGCCCTGGCCGGTT